CTTCTAAGTCCTTGGAGTGCTATCTTCATACCAGGCTTACTTTTTTTGAACAGGAGTGCAAGCATAGGAATCTTTTTATACATATATATATACATATATATGTATATATATATGTTACAAAATGCCTTTTGTAACTGTCTCTTTAAGTGACAAATTGCCCTGCTTCCCTGTATTATGGAGAAGCCTTATTGCCAGCCTCCTTCCTCATGACTATGGCCCTGGTGTGTATGGTCCTTTAAGAACAGTCTGTGAGCATATTGGGGCTTATGGACTTTTATGTGACTGGTGCTGGCCCTTTAAGCACATTTTTGGGCCAATGCCCCTTTAAGACGGTGTCCCCAGACTTGTTTGGGACACTCCCCCTTTAAGCCTGTGTCCCCAGACTTGGTTAAAATACTCTATTCATGGCTTCTTTACACTTGGTTCAGTAAATGGGGCTTACTGAACCAAGTACTGTACAGGTGGAACACCCAGAAGTGGAAACGTGTAGGCAATTTGTAGCGGAGATCTAGTATTCCACAAGTTATCTCCGCTTAGGATCCCAGTGAGGCTCAGGAACAAGTAGTTATAAATCCATAAAGCAAGGTTTCCAGCAGGAAAACAGTAAAGCAATATCCCAACAGCAATCCCAATAACTGGACGACACACAGCATCAGGAGCAGAACTAAACTTTTATTTCCACAGTGGCCTTATAAAGCATGCTCCCATGCAAGGGAGGGATTTCCATTAATTATTACAGTATCCAATCCTGTTCTGGTAACCTCCCACACATCTCCTCCCCTCAGCCTAACTCATAATCCCCTCATACAGTACACAAATTCCCCCAGTTTCTGGATGTACCCCTAAATCTAGGGGTACCCCTTTAAATGGCACATCCCCTGGTAGCCCTGATCTGGGTGAGCAACATATCCAAAAATCACCCAGATCGGACCAGGGGTTCGGGAAATTTGTGGAGGTAATGAAAAGACCGACCGCGCTGGAGAGAACAGCCGAATTGGGTTCCATGTGATGAGGCCCTGCGGTCGGTCACAATATAAGGGAACAAACTGCACGAAAGGCTAAGGTTACAGAGATCAGGGAGGGTTCGCATGAATCCCCTCGTTCGGTTGTTTATTTGGAAGCGAACGTATCGTGCGTATGGAGATCTCAGCAGTGTTTGCCTAGCCAAGTGTCCGATTTGGGTTCCAGACACTCAACGGCAAAACACCGCTGTTCGGGAGTTTCAAAATGGTGCCCCCACGTGTTCGTTTACCGAATGGCGGCCACACCCGAGAACAAAGGACCCACTGCAGAGCTTGTCAATTACCCGTTCACAACATTGTTGCAACGGGTAATTGAAGACACACTTCACACAGGGGAGGTCTGACTGTTCGGTAGTTTCATTCCCTTAGTTGCTAGAATGATTCTACCGAACAATCAGACGAATACAACCTATTTTTACACATATAACCCTGCAATTTAACATATGCAATTTCCAGGACAGCCCAGTGCCATCCGCTACACAATTTACCTCCCAGGCTGGGAGCCTGCTGTAGGTAAATGGCCGACTGCTGGGTGGCCGCAGTTCGTGCAAACCAACTCGTGGCGGCGGCCATCTTTGTTCATTCGAACAACCCTTACTTTCTCCTACACTAAGTTTGAGTCCCGTTCGGCAGGTTGAACTCACTGTTATACTTAGCCAAATGCATGAACAGCCTCGTTCGTGCATTTGAACGGAACTTAGTCATTTTTCTGCCTGAAATAGACCAACCGCACAGCCCAAATCTATGAAACTGTTGGTCATAAAGGACTTCCGTCTAACTTTTTATCCACTGTAGGGATTTGTGTGATTTTTGCTTATGTTTATATTTAAAGTATGCTGATTCTGTATATGTAATTTATGAAAATTGGACGTATATTTTTAAAGTTACAGTGTATGTATAAAAAGTGTATTTTCCTGCCTGTGATAATTATTTTAACCCATTGTGTTCAGTAATTATATCACAGGCAGAGGGGAGGATTTGTGTGTTATTGATGGGTGTGTTTTTACTGTATGTTACGTGTTTATTGTTTGTACTGCAAAACCCTGTGGGCGGTCCTGTATGTGTAAGACCTCCATAAAAGAAAGTCCTTTGATGCCAATTAAAGAGAACGACTTGACCCTCTAACTTGCAGCCTCGACTCATGTTTGTAGCTATAATTACTACAGGGATTGCTATGCTCTTCATACTCCCTTAGCTACTGAGCTCTTGTAAGAGCTCCTTTTCCTGATCCTGCTTCGCACTACAGAAGGAAGAGGTTCACCCACTGGAACCTGGAGCCTGGTCATAGGTCCAGGGTGGATAGCAGACGGTAAGATACCAGCCCAGCAGCGGTGGTTCGTGGAGGCTGCAGTGCTTATGGTGTCGGTGCAGTACTTATGGTGTTTACGCTGCTTTTGGTCCTTTGGTGAGCGCTAGGAGCATCCTTTCTACAGTCCAACTTCCAGCCAGCCTGGAGGCAACCGTAACAATATATATATATATATATATATATATATATATAATGTAGATTATAATCCATTATGGTTTAGCCAAATTATTCCAGTAGACAAGGTATCGAAATAACCAGTGTATTGTAGAATGCAATGATACCTTTTTTATTGGATTTACAAGCTTTCGAGAGTTATCCTAATGCTTCAGACCTGAGGAAGTGAGGATGACTGTTGAAAGTTTGCCTTAAATATTTTGTTAATCCAATAAAAAAGCTATCATTGCAAGTTACAATACACTGGTTATGTTATAGAAAAAATTGATGCATTTCTGACTTCACTGCAAGATCTATGCACGTGCTGTATCTGTACTCTCATGCATGGCCATGTCTACTGGTCAATCAGTCCAGTGTTATCTGACAGCCATTTTGAAATAGCTCTTCCAGAGTCAAATATATTCTAAGCTTAACTTGCGATGGGTAGCTTGAAGGCTGCCGCCTGTCTGTGCTTGAGTGAACGCTTCCACATTAGCTGATCACCAGAGGAGAGGCAGCTAGGTGTCTGAGGACACTAATTCTGTGTTAAACCATCTGAAAATACTGGAAGGTAAGTTAGCACCAAGATACTTCAGGCACCATAACCACTTTTTTTGGTGAAGTGGTGAAGTTGTTATGGTGCAGAGAGTGCTCCTTTAAAGTATTCAGGCAAAAATGGACATAAAGTTTTAAAATTTTGTTTTAATCTTTCTTTTCATGCGTGGACCTAGGTCCTGGGTGCCGAAATCTTTGTATGGACAGATGAAGTCCCCGTGGGACACGCCATCTGCCCACACTAGATAGCGCTGTGAAAAACACTTGGGCATGCGAATGGGAGTTTCATCTATTCATTCATTTGTCAGATGAATAAATGAATAGAAATTCAAACGAATGAAAGAAGACCTCTACGTTCGTTCGTTTGATTTATTACAAGGAGGGAGCTACCGGTGCGCAGCTCCCTCCTTGTAATATGTAAGCCTCCCATGTCCTCCCTCACTCTGTGGGGGTCAAAATCTCTCAAATGCCCCTACTCGCTATGCTGCGAGTAAGGACATGTCTACTAAACAGTGAGCAGCCAGTGGCAACTCGCTGTTAAAAAAAAGCTCCCTAGTTTCCCCCCTCCCGAGCCCCCATTCGTGCCGCGCGAGTGGGGACTAATAAACTGAAAGGGGGATCCCACGCCCTGCAATTTGACTTAGAGCACACTGATTGGTTGATTCCAATCCAACCAATCAGAGTGCTCTCACGCAAATGAAGAGACTGACAGGTAAGTCTCTACATTTACATGTCACAGCACTCTGATTGGTTGGCTTGAAATCCAACCAATCAGAGTGCTCTGTGTCATTTTACATTGATTTCAATTTGAAAATGGGGAGGACCTATTATCCCCACCAGGTCGCACCCACTGCTCCTGGGTGGGGGCCAGGGTGTCCTCCCCATTTTCAAATTGAAATCAACCAATCAGTGTTATGACTCAAATTACACAGCATGGGAAAATTCCAAAGAACTTTCCCACTCTGTGTAAAATGACACAGAGCACTCTGATTGGTTGGATTTCAAGCCAACCAATCAGAGTGCTGTAGCAGGTAAATGTAGAGACTTTCCCCACCCTGCGGAACCCAGTCTGCGCGTTTCCCTCGCTGGGTGATGATAAATTACTTTTTTAGCGTTTTTTTTGTGCTCTGTTTTTTTTTTACAGTTGCAACGGGTATTATGGATTTTTATTTGGCCTCTTTTGGGGCTGAAAAAAGAAGATTTTAGAAAAAAGAAGACATCAAATGGTTAGTTATTTTTTACTTACAGGTATTTAGTTTTCTTGTTCCACCCTCACTATTTTTAGGGTGAGTGAGGTAGGTAGGTCTTTATTAAAAAAATTGGGTGGGGGGGTTTACAAGGGGCTTGGGGACCCTTAGTCACCTGGGGTGGGGTTTACATTTAGCCCCCACCATGGGTGGGCACAGGGGGGAGGACAATAGGGCCCCCACCCATAGGGTGGGGGCTGTGGGGGAGGAAAATAGGTCCCACCCCCATTTTTATTTAGGGTCCCCACCTGATGCTCATGGGTGGGTTAACCGGGGGGGAGGACAATAGCCCCCCCCCCATATTTTCATTTAGGGCCCTCCACCTGCCGCTCATGACAAAATGAAGAACAGACCCTGAGAGAGGAAGAGAAGAGGAATCGATTGGGGAGAGGTAAGTTTGGCATGTTATTGTCATTTATAGACAACCAGTTCCTAAATACCATCTACCAAGAATAATAGTATCTGTTTAATTTTGTAGAAAAGTAACTTTGCAATGAAGGACACATCTCCAAATATCCTCAACTTGTAAATCAGTTATTTGGGGGGTTTGTTACGAGCTTTTAGATAGTTCTGTCCCCTCTAGAAAAACCAATAAATAATAAACTATAAGTGCAAATGTATAATTAACCAGTTTGTCATTATCCATTAAGTTGTCAAAGTAGGATTTGAGATACCACAGGATTTCTTTAACTACCTTAAATATTTGTAGATCTAGTTTTTCTGTCAACTCCTCAGTTTTGTTCTAGGCTGGCATAGGAATATATTTTGACCTAGAGTTACAGGACAGGCAGCAGTGGTTCCCATGAATTTTTGTTGTTGTTTGTGGATTGTTCATTCTTCACACAGTCACCTGCTGGATCACGCAAGATGTACCATTCATCACTAAAGGTGTGTAGTATACCTCCACCTGCTTAGGTAGCAGTCTATGATGGCTGGTTCACAGTCAGGCTGCTTTCCTACCAGTAGAGACTGTCACTGCAGGGTTATTTAATCTTCCTTCCCTCATCCTTAGTACTGCAAGGGCAGTCTATGCACAGAGCCCTGACGAAATTAAGGCGGTCTCAGTTGTGCTGTGTAACGTGTGGCTAAGGGCTGCTGATAGTGAGATAGTGTGTGTATACGTGTATATAGAGGCTGTAGTGTATGTGTGTATAGGTGATGTAATGTGTGTAAAGGCTGCACAGAGTGTGTTTGCATGCAGTGAATCTAGTGTAGACATAGTGAATCCAGAGTTTGTGAGGGGTGAAATGTGTATATTTGCATTCAGTTAATCTAGTGAGTGCATAGGTGATCCATAATTAGTTTTTTGAGCAGTACAATTTGTGTGTGTGAGGGTGGAGGTGCAGTGTGTGTGAGTGCAATGTGTGCATGGGTGCAGTGCAATGTGTGTGAGGGATGCACTGTGTGTTAGTGGTGCAGTGTGTGTGTGTGTAAGGCGTGCAGTATGTATGTGAGGGGCGAATGGTGTGAGAGAGATGCAGTGTGTGTGTGAGGGGTGCAATGTGTGTGTGTGAGGGGTACAATGTGTGTGTGTAAGGAGAGAAATGTGTATGTGAGGGGTGCAATGTGTGTGTGTGAGGAGAACAATGTGGATGTGTTAGGGTTGCAATGTGTGTGTGAGGCTCAGTGTGTGTGTGTGTGAGGGGTGTAATGTGTGTGTGTGAGGAGAGCAATGTGTATGTGAGGGGTGCAATGTGTGTGTGTGTGTGTGGAGAACTATGTGTTAGGGTTGCAATGTGTGTGTGAGGCTCAGTGTGTGTGTGTGTGTGTGCGCGTGTGTGATGGGTGCATTGTGTGTAAGGGGTGCAATGGGCGTGTGACAGGTGCAGTGTGTGTGTGAGGAGTGCAATATTTGAAAGTTTTGGGAGGTATAATGCTTCTATTGTGTGTGTGGGGGTGAGTGAAAATGGGAGAAAACATGCATTATTATTTTATTTAAAAAAACAACTAATAAGCTTTGCATCCCCCTTCTTACCTTTGCCTAGGGTGGGGGCACATTGCAAGCTCTGGTGGTCCATTGACACTAAGTGTACTCAAGTTCGCTGCTCCTCCTGCTAGAGTGAACTCCTACGACATTCAACACTGTTGGAGAGTTGCTGTGGTAATGCTCTGAGCTCGTGAGAGGAAGATCCTGAACGATCTGCAGGCTAGAGTCCCTGTGTATTTCTTTCCGCTCTCCTTAAAGGGACACTATAGTCACCAGAACAACTACAGCTTAATGTAGTTGTTCTGGTGAGTATAATAGTTCCCTTCAGGCATTTTTATGCAAACACAGCCTTTTCAGAGACAAGGCAGTGTTTACATTGCCCCTAGGGGCCACTGGAGGGGCTTCCTGGCTCAGGGCTGTCGTTCAGCGTCCCCACGCTCTGCATGGGGACGCTGAAGTTTCCTCATAGAGATGCATTGATTCAATGCATCTCTATGAGGAGGTGCTGACTGGCCAAAACGGCGTTTGGTCCTGCCCCCTTGCCGATTTTAGCCAATCCAATGCTTTCCCCATGGTAAAAAGCAGTAATTTTGATGATTTCACCAAGGGGACAGGCAAGTGCCGGCAGACCCGTGAAGAGCTTAAAATAAGGTGAGTTTTAACCCATTCTGTGTCGGCTAAAGTGGGGGCAAGCCACCTTAATGGTGGGTTTTCACTAAAGGGTCAGGAATACATGTTTGTGTTCCTGACCCTATAGTGATCCTTTAAGTCTGCCACAGTGAACAGATCTTTGATCACCCCACTCATCTATGAAGCCTCGGCCCATAGTCATTGTGGTCTACTGGGCATTTACCCGGTTTGCCCGATGGCAAGTCCAGGGCCTGTATGTATGTGACTGTATATGTGTATCTATATATATATATATATAAATATATATATATATATATATTGTCACTGCTTGGCAACCAGGAGACTTAGATTCAAATCCTGGTCAGCATACCTCAACAGTAAGTGTCCCTGGGAAAGATACCGACTGATATATTTGCATACCCGAAAGACTGCAGTGGAGGTGGATGTAGACATACCCAGTGATCATAACATCAAGAAGAAGGAACATGAGATAAATTGGTTGGCTGGTTGTATTTCTGTCTTTCCTTGGTTATTCTTAACAGAAGGTATTCTTTGTGAAAATGACCAAACCCATTGGTGTGTTCCTTTTCTCAGAGGAACCTGGTGATGTGGGTCCAGAGCAGTGTTAATTTTGTTGACTTACAATTTCAGTCAAACTTTAATCGACTAAAACTAGACTAAAATTAAAACAATTTAGATGACTAAAATACAACTAAAACTAAAATGGCATTTTAGTCAAAAGACTATGACTAAAACTAAATTAAAATTTGCTGTCTAAATTAGCACTGCACCGAGAGGCTGTGGAAGGGGCAAAAGAGACAGGCCAGGGCTTGGGAGAGAGATACTTTGAGTGGCTTGGAGGTCTAAAGAGACAGAGGCATTAACTAAACAGTAGATTTTAGTCAAGTAAATCTCTAGTAGATCTTAGTCGACTAAATCTCCAGCAGACTTTAGTTAACTGAGATCTACTGGAGATTTAGTCGCCTAAAACTAGACTAAAACAATTCAGATGACTAAAACACGACTAAAGCTAAAATAACTTTTTAGTTAAAAGACTATGACTAAAAATAAATTGAAATTTGCTGCCAAAATTATCACTGGTCCAAAGTCAGATTACCCATTAGGCAACCAAGGCGCCTGGCAGAGGAATATCTACTAAAAATAGCTCCTATGACAAGCACTGAAATTGTGTTCCTCGTGACCCATGTCCAAACATCTGGCACCTATCTTTTAGATAACTTTAACTATAAAATCAGCTCACAAATACAAGTTGTATGTAATGTATATTGGTGTGGCGTGTGGTTGTGGTGTGTGTGCTGGCTATATGTGATATGGTGTGTGCTGGCACTCATTTGTTTTGTGATTCAGAGTGTTGTCTGTGTTGCCAGAAAAATGTGGAGGGAATGGCGAACTAGCTAATTTATTATATATATATATATTTTTCGCATAGGTGGAATTCGACCAAACTAAAACACACGGATGAAATTCGGTTCAATTACGACACATTTTTGTGGGGTTCTAATTGATTGGGACAAACTGAAAGTTTCTTCCATGCTCATTAAGAATAGGTGGCTACTCTCCGAAGAGGAAGAGTTCTCTACCTGATACAGATATTGGATGCTAAAGCCAAAATATTGCATACTAGTGCCAAATCTCATAGATTATCGTCTCCATACCGTTTATTTTCAGAATGTCCTCTGTATTTCTTTACTTTCAGACTGTTGAACCTATTTTCTTTCTACTTCTAGTTGCAACATATTAACTTGTTTGAAGGGGCCTCAACAATATTAACTTTTCTTTTCTTTTTTTTAAGAAAAATAACTGCTTTAAATATAAATACATATAAGAGATCATTAACCATTGCCATACACTACTTGAAAACCTTTAGTAAAAACAAGAATATAATAATTAACTTTGCTGCTACTGGTCACAGTATATCCACTAGAACTTCAAAAGTCTTATGTTCCAGAAGGATACAGTAATGAATGGAAAAAACATGCGTCTTGATGGAGAAAAAACTTCCCCAAAACAGGAGAACCTCCAACTGAAGCGTGGGATTGGATTGTTTAGTGGCGTATCCCTGATTGCTGGCACAATGATAGGTTCTGGGATCTTCATGTCTCCTCAGTGGGTCCTCTACTACGTGGGAAGTCCAGGAGCCAGTCTGCTGATATGGGCGGCTTGTGGTCTGCTTGCCATGCTGGGGGCATTGACCTACGCTGAACTCGGAACTGTGATTAAGGAGTCAGGAGGAGATTACATATATATTTTAAGAAATATTGGCTCACTGCCTGCTTTTCTCTTAGCGTTCACTTCTATCATGGTGACTAGACCTGCTAGCATTGCAGCGATATCTCTGAGTTTTGCAGAATATGTGGTGGCATCATTCTATCAAGATTGCCCAATGCCCCAAGTGGTGGTAAAGTGTACTGCAGCTGTGTGCATCCTAGTCTTAACCATCATTAATTGTCTTAGTGTTAGGCTGGCAACCTCTTTTATGAACATTTTTACAACAGCCAAGATCTTAGTATTGTTGGTTATAATTGCGGGTGGAATGGTTCTTTTGGCCAAAGGAAACACTCAGGTATTGCAGAACTCCTTCGAAAATACAGTCACTGGTTTCGGTCCTATAGGATTGGCTTTTTATCAAGGACTCTGGTCGTATGATGGATGGAACAACCTTAACAGTGTGACGGAGGAACTGAAGAATCCCCAGGTCAGTGAGTACTGAAAAGACATAATAGTGGGAGTGAAGGAAGCAGAAAGGAAATGATTCAGTAAAGGTGCATTTTTTTATTCCCTCTTTGGGGCACAACAGTCAAAGAATACAATGGCAGCTTAGCAAGAAGCTAGGTGATATTAACAATAAACACAAAAACACTAATGAGAACCCAGTAGGGTTAGGAATACAAATGTGCCCTGGTGTTCTCCTATCCTTTCTCCCTCTAAAGGTATCAGGCTGGGTTTTGGGCATCAAGTTCAATGATCTCAGCCAATCCAATGCTTTCCCGTAGGAGAGCAATGGGAGGTTCGTGCGCATGTGCAGCAAAACCATCTGATGGAAATATTGGAGTTCTACTCAACTTTACTCCTCTAAAGTATGACAGTCGCTATAGGTAGGTTTACCCAGCAATGAAAACTTTGCTATTCCTGCAGAATGGCAATATTTTCAGCTGAAGGGTTAAAGCTGGTGGCACATGGCACACTTCATGGAGTGGTCTGGAAGTTTTCCTTGAAGGCCAAAATAGCTGAGCTGGAAAATTATCTTAGTCCATTTGTCAAGTTAATTTACTTTGCATTCTCACTTTAGTGAATAGCCTCCCACATTTATTGGCAAGATCTAAGTGTGACAAATATTGTATTATAGGTTAATAATAAAAAACAACCTTTAACTCCATGTGATGGCATGACCTGTTAAAATAAGGTACACCTCCAGTCATCAGTAAAGCTGAAAATGTAAACTGCAGATATAACCATGACAGATGTTTTTCTAACACACTTATCAGTAGTCCTTAAAATGCCTGGAAATTAGATTTTTTTTTCAATCAAAATTGAGGGTGCAGATCACTTTAAGAGTGCCCATATGTCCTCTTTGCACTTCTTGATGACTCAGATCTTAAAGTGGTCTATACCTGATACTGATTACAGAATATGGAGCTCCACCACGGGACCACCATGGATCCTGTTCACCCTTCACTGGACCACCAGTGAATGTAAATGGGGGAGGGAACAAACACCCACACAGCACTCGCCCACTCTTAGATGTTTTTATGTCTCAACTCGAAATATAGCCACCACACACACAACTAGCACACACAGACACACTCAGCCTCCCTCCATACAGCTCTCATCCTTCTCCACATACATAAAACTCAGCCACCACACACACTAGAAAATATGTATAGAGGATGCAGCTGTGGATCTACAAAAATCAAAAAATATAACAGTGTAATACAATTAACAAAGAAGTATATGCGCTCCCACTCTCTGCATGACAGTAACTAGCCACACTCACAGGATGAAGACTGATATGTATCGCCTCCTTGATGGCAGCCGTCACACCAGTATAACAGACAGGACTCCAAAAATTATCCAAATAAAAATCTGCTTTTATTTTTTACATCAAGCATAAAAGAGCTTGTAAAATAAAATGGAAAAAAATAATAAAAAAAAACAAGTATGGCTAAAGGTCCTACGCGTTTCGCCCTACATATAGGATTTCCTCAGGAACCATAAACATAAAACACTTAAAAATAATAAAGTAAATAAACAGCAAAGGCAATAATGCTTTCAAACAGGAGAAGCCAGTAGAACACCCCCCCTCCCAACCCCACACCACCCTATTAAGCTTACAATCTAAAATATACCGTATTATCGAACACGTGAACATGGTTGCAGCAGTTGGTGAAACACTAGAGATTGCAACCTATAAATAAATCTTTTATAGCATGACCCACAGCTAGTAACCCAGCGTTTATTTAGTACTGTAACAAAGGAAGCATCCATAACTGAACATCTCTGTTTGAAAAACATACAGGTCTCTTGTTCTCCTCTGTTTCTTGAGCTGAATATGTTTGTACATTGTAAATGCTTGAATCCAAACCCCTTTTTATACAGCGTATTCTTGGTTATCTATCGTTTAGTGACGGTGTTCGTGTTAAACTGTGCGTTAAGTCGAATGACTTTTTATTGAAATGTATTGCAGGTAAACCTACCTCGCGCAGTGATGATTGCCATTCCTCTGGTGACCTTTATCTACATCCTGGTCAATGTTAGCTACTTTGCAGCCTTAAATCCCACAGAGCTTCTTTCATCGGATGCTGTTGCCGTCAGTTGGGGGTGAGTTATTCTTCAAGTGGATTTTAAATTCATTATAATGAACCACCAGGCTCTAGGACACTTTAAACATACTCACTTTTTGGAGTGTAAAAACGTATATTGTTTTTGGCTTTCCTCCTCTCTTTACTTTATTTAAAGCCCCCTGTAGTGGCTAGATGCTAGGAGTACCTTGGCTCTGTTCCCGGTAAAGGGGCAAATCGCTCCCCGTTGGGCTCCCACGATTCTTTCAGCCCAGGTCACACACTTCTGACTTCTACAGAGCTGCAATAGCCGATCCAGTTGCCATTCATTGGCTGAGAGCATCAGCTGACGGGGGCTGGCTAATGAATTATAATGAAAATTCTACATTTGATACATTAATACATGCTGCTGAGGAAAGTTGTAGAAGACAGATTCTCTTGATGACCTCAATAAAAATGTTTACTGAATCAGGGATCCTTCTTTATGATAAGGATGGAGAGAGTGTGAGGAGGGGAGGATATCATCTCATGTAAAACAGTATCAAAAAGGAACCAAATCTCCTATGTCTCCCATATAAAAGGGCGCTTCAACTCTCATTTTTAACCTTTGCCCTTAACCCCTTAAGGACCAAACTTCTGGAATAAAAGGGAATCATGACATGTCACACATGTCATGTGTCCTTAAGGGGTTAATGGGCCACTAAAGTCACCCAGATCACTTCATATCAATGGTATGAACCAATGCAGAGGACCTTTAGTTTTAACTCTGCAATATACAGCATTGTTGTATAGTAGATGTGGTAATGGTATATTGCAGGTTAAATACGCGTCTAATGGTACTCTTCCTTAGAAAGTTCACTGTGAGACTCGAATCAAACAGTTAATCTCACCTAGCCTGCGCTTTTTATTCCCAATATTCTATTTTGTTCTATGATGTTCTATAAGAAGCATCAGAGTGACATCGCAGTAGGCCAATCTAACAGCTGCAGGGACTCGATATCTGAGCTGGAAAAAAAGGTATTACCCTTTTATCCTGTTTTTTTTTTTAATTAAGATTTAGTGGGGGCCCTGAGTCTAAATACACAGGAGAACATTGTAGCATTAGGAATACAGGTTTGTATTTCAAATGCTACAATGTTCCCTTAAGCAGGGAGTGGGGGGGAGGCTGATTCTATATCAAGATAGTTAGGGATTTTAGGGGATTACAAGCAGTCCAAAATAATAACAAATGTTTTAAACTGTCTTAGATTAGAAACATAATATTATTTTAAGTGTCCTTTATTTTATTGGTTAAAATTTTTTTATTATTTAAAGTGTCCATTTTATTGGTTTAAAAATTTGTATTATTTTAAGTGTGTTTTATTCTATTGGTTCTATGTTACAAATAAAATTATGTTGTTTCCCTATTACTATACATAGCTTTTTAAATACACTGCAATAAGGGAATAGATGCAGAATAAAGTGTTTAGAATTAAGTAACATTTCTTCACTGGAATGTACACGTCTGTACAGCATATTTCCGCATTTTCCCAAAAGATTTCACATAATCCATGAATGTGGGTAATGACATTTTTGGATTGTGGGAACTCCTGCTCTTCCCTTGTATACAATGTAAACAGTGACAATTCAAATGTTTCCCACTCAAGATGTGAACATTTTAAACATCCAGCATGTTCCACTGCTATACTGATTCAGAGGCAGACTTTAGATATTTTTGTGTGCATTCCCCATGGCAAGAAAAACATGCCAACTTTCACAGTTCACTTTTTAAAAATATCTACATTAGACAACCTGTACGAGCTCGCTAAATTGGTTCCCACTGCTGCCATCTTGTGCAATCTTACTATATTGCACATTGTGACTGAATGAGAAAGACTTGCAGCCCAAGTGGCAAACAAGTGGCGTACATCTTTAGTCAATATGCCAGCGAGTGCCATTCACTGCTAATCACATCGGGAAAGACTTTAACCACATAAAATCAAAAATGGCCAATAATTGTGTGTATAATCCAATCTCAAGTTCGAGTTGAGCCTTACTTATTATATAATAAAAGCAATAACTGTAATTATTTCACTATTACACCCACTTCATTTGCATTCATACTGTTACAATTTAATCCACTCACACTTATAAAGAATTAGGCCTCAGCTATTGATTCTACCATTAAATTCTAATAGACCTGGGAGTATCATTGTTACCATAAGGATTGCTAGACTGGCATTAGACATCCATCTTTTATTTATCCTTCCAGAGTTAAGGTTCTGGGTACGTGGACCTGGCTAATCTCACTGGGTGTTGCTTTCTCTACCTGTGGTTCTGCAAATGGGGTTTTTTTCAGTGGAGGGCGAGTGTGCTATGTAGCAGCCAGAGAGGGGCATCTGGTAAGCAAAACCTACATTACTTTCTAGAAGCATATGTGTAACAGAACAGTATTATTAGTAACTATTGTGTATAGTGCATTACATGTGACAGCATTGCATGATTACTGTATTGCCTGGATGGCTCCTTAAGGTCATAGTTGAAATCTATATCTGTAAATCTTGTGACAATATCCTTAAAAAAAAACAGATGGACAAAATGAGTTCTAGGCATTGCACAGAAAACACAAACTATCCCCTAAATTGTAGCAAATTGAACTCGAATTTAGGCTAGAAAAGCCATGTGCAAGTTTAGTTGAGTTGGAGAATTTTAAATATACAAAGACAAGTCCTGCGCGCCAACGTCCCCTACTCCTGGCGGCAGCAATGACCATAGTACACATAAGCCCCAATGCATACATACAAAAATAAATAAATAAAAAAAGAATCCCCATGCTCATTTAAATAACTGGAGTTTTTTTTTTAATATCACTCCAATGGCCATTAGGTGGAAGAAGATTCACCTTGCTTTCTTCAGCTTCAGGTAAAAAAAAACGAGACAGAGAGGGATATATTTCCAAACCCCTACATACTTATTAACCCCTAATAAGAAACACATGGGGTGGTAGGCAGCCTGGTAACATGGCTACGTGATACAAAAAAAACAATACAAACACACAACATAAAGTCCTGCACTCAAACTCCCACTACTCCTGGTTGGCAGAGGTTTGCCTTGTCGTGGCAGGTGAGCTTCCACCTAATGGCCATTGGAGCTACCAGATAACCTCCATTTATTTAGCCCCTTAAGGACCAAACTTCTGGAATAAAAGGAAATCATGACATGTCACACATGTCATGTGTCCTTAAGGGATTAAATATGCATAGGGATTTGGGTATTGAGCAGGTAACTCTTTTCTTTGCTTTTTATTATATGTATTGGGGCTGATGTGTGCTATGGTCATTTACGCCTCCTAGGAGTAGTGCACACTATAGATAAATAGAAATCGCTCCAGATGTAGGAAAAAACCTGCCCTGTTGCTAAAATTGGGCTTAACCCAAAATAATCAATTTAGTGAACCGATACCTAATGAGGGAAGGATCCCATCCTCCAATTAAGGATCATTCTAAGGTAACGGCAAAAAAAAAATTACTTTATTAAATAGAGAACCAAAACATATATATGAAATAAACAATGTGCAACCTGGTGTAAAGTGAATGAATTGGTCTGAACATAGACTGATTAATTATTTTAAAAGAAACATGGAAATCGAGGTTACATGAAGATACCTTAATTTTACTTAAGCTTAAGATAATATTTGAATAGTGTGTAGTATCTGCATTTCGGAGTTATAATACTTTATCAAGAGTTCTAAGGCGCATTCTAACCCCAAAACGCACGTCGAGCTTTTATGTCTATTTGCTTTTACTTTTTCACTTTTTAGAAACAGGGACATTTGGCACATGATGATCACTTTTATATTTAGCATCTATTGACACATTAGCACGTAGATTGGACTGGGGGGCTGCCTCGAAGCAGCAGGCTGGGAGGAGAGGTTAGATAGATGGACGTGCTCTCCTTTAAAATGAAATGACTACTTTTTCCTACCTGCATCTCCTTACCTTGTACTGATTATTATCACTTTGTGTCTGTGCTATTTGAGTCAATCTTATCTATCTAATTGGTCTAGCAGTGGAATCTGACAGGGTTTGAGTGAGCAGCTTAATATAGTCCTTTTTTTTCCCATAGGGGCAATTTAACATATTGGGGTGAAAGGAGCCATCATTGTGGGTGTTTATACTTTTGCTTTCTAATATATGGTCACCTCTTTGGTGAAAGAGCTACCTAGGGAGGTGTGTTTCCTCTGATGAATGTACTACTTAAGATGCTTACACAACATCTTAATAATTAACCACAGGCATACTTTCTCCTAACCTCCTATATGGCTACTGATTGACTACTTACAGGATATAACACTTGTTCACTACAGTAATCGAATTTCAGTCCTATAATAACTCTATGTGCATCTTTCTATCTGTCTAATCCCTCTCTGTAACTCTCTTATAGACATTTTAAATACAATGCAGAAATCCATCATTACATTGTTGCATCTTAGGGAATTAGATACACTCTAATAGTTATTGCATTTCTAAAGCCAGATGCTACATACTATTCAAATATTGTCTTAAGCTCAACTAAAAGTAAGGTATCTTCATGTAACCTTGATTTCCATGTTTTTTTTTTTAATTTATTAATTCAGACCAATTAATTCACTTTACACGGGGTTGCACATTGATTGTTATATATATATATATATGTTTCTCTATTTGATAAAGTAATTTTTTTGCTATTACTTTAGAATGATCCTTAATTTGAGTTTTTTTTCATTGAGGCTAGGCTCCTTGTCTGTTAAGTGGGATCCTTCCCTCATCAGGTAGTGCACACTTTATGTAATAATGATGCCAATTACTAGGCTGTATATATTTTATACCAAATAGACATATTATTTCATTATTTATATAGTTCCGTAGCGCTGTACAATGGGTGGATTAACAAAGATGCGATTGTAACCAGATGGATTGGACACACAGGAACAGAGGGGTTGAGGGCCATGCTCAATGAGCTTACATGCTAGAGGGAGTGGGGTATCATGACACAAAGGGTAAAAGTAGGGGTCTCAAAGCAGGTTGCTAGAAAGGTATTCAGTGAGGGCTTAGTAGGTTATTTTTGACAGTTGCAGGAGAGGAGTCAGGGTGTGGGGATGAAAAGCTGTTAACATATGGATATGCCATAATTTGCACCAGTGACTACTCAGAACAGCTAGTACCTAGTACGTAGTTATCATAGTAATACTGCTGAGAACATTGTTAGCACAGACTTGTGGGTGTAATTTCTCCCCAATTGATTATGACTACTTGGATTTATCAATTGCCTGGGTTTCTCATTCTCAGAAAAATAACCGTTTTCTGATTTATTAGCCAGATATCCTATCAATGGTCCACGTGAACCGGCTCACACCTTCTCCTGCTCTGATATTCACATCTTTCATCTCACTTATCATGATCATACCATCGGACTTCAGCAGTATCATCAACTTTTTCAGGTATGTATATCAGTGAGCAAACTTAATCAAACCATGTTAGAACCAAACACACTTGTGTTCAAGATATTGTATCTTTGAAATCTATGTGATAAAGTCACTCTGTCATGGTTATTCACTGAAGTTTGAATTGTCAAAATTTCTAACTAAAGGGGGGTGGAGCCTGGCTGTGGAGCTGATCAGACATGTGCAGCACGAGCTCCCGGCTGAAATACTATTTTAATCAAAATAACCCTGACTTTCATGCTACATAATCACTTAAAACCGCATCACCCAAGTAGGGGCTGCAAAGGAGAGCAAAACGAGACCACTCTCGAAACGCTGAGTTGCAGGGAACACAGGCTGCATTGATGGGGCCTACCGCTGCGATGACTAACCTGATTAGTGGCCTAGATGGAAGTAGGGGGCATGGGTGAAGCGGCCGATCACCTGGCCCAGGGCTCCCTGAAGGCTGATATAACCACAGCAGAGGACCAGCCACGAGCCTTCCTCCCCCGGCCCATCCACGACGGTGGGGGATATCCCAGCACCCACCACTAACAATCACGTCTCAAAGACTGCATGCATTGGGAGTCACTCACTCTAAAATGGCGGATGCCACGTGACAGTCGGCAAGTATGGGGACATGTGGAGAGCGGTTGAACGACACTCTGACTAAGCTGGATGAAATTCTTGCTGCCTTTTGGGCCAGAATTTCAGAGAGGGCGCTGAACGCAGCTACAGCTAGACGAACAACTCCTGCACTCACACTCCCGGGCCCCAGGGGCGGACGCAGAATGATAGCCGCCAGAGGCTCCCCAAAGAGGCACAGAAAACGGGACCCATGGCACAAGCAGAAACATAGAGCCTGCCACATGACAAGCACTTGCCCCCACATCAAGCCGCAACAACCTCACAACAGACCAGAGGCACCCTGCCCACCAGGACAGCGCCGATCATCTGACAAAGCAGAGCCTCACCACCACAACTCGGAGACCTGGCACTTAGCCACACACATGCCTCTGATGTCTGTGGCGGAACCAGCCTCACCACTGGGCACTGGAGAAGACTGATTGCCAGCCTCCTGCCCTGTGACTATGGCCCCATGTTGAAAGGCTTGATTTTCCCCTGCAAAGACCTGAAAGCCGGGTAATTTGGTACTTTCCCTATGTGAGCAGTGTTACCCCAGATAGCTATGCCATGGAGCCCATTCGTATAACGAAAGACTATGTGAAAGGCTATGGCTCCATGGCAATTGAACTGTATGTATGTGATCTGAGCGCCATTCAGTAATAATGTGCGCTCAGATCTAAGCTATCTGGGGATATGTTGAATGTCCCTGTTTTATGCAATAGCTGCACAGTTATATATTTTTATGTATTTTATTGTATTTTGCTACCATGTGGCTAGTTGAGTTTTGCTTCTGTCCTTGGAGATAATTGGATTACTTCCCAATTTTCTCCAGGATAGAAGACTCTGTGGAACTGGTTTTGGGCAGAAAAGCCATGCTTCATTTGGTCATAAGGGACGTTGATCTAACTTTTGACCCACTGGACCAATTTGTATGATTTTGACGTATATTCGTATTTGGAGTATGCTGATTCTGAAAATGTAACACATTTTATGTGAATGTGATGCATACTTTTTAAAGTTATGAATATTGTGTAAAACTGTGTATTTTCCTGCCTGTGATAATTATATTAACCCATTGTGTAAGGTGATTGTATCACAGGCAGAGGGGAGGATTTTGTGTGGGTGTGTCTGAGTGAATTGTACGTGTTTATTGGTTGTTCATCAAAACCCTGTGGGCATTACTATGTTTGTAGAATGTGAATAAAAGAGGCCGTATGAGCCAGTACAGTCAGTTCTACTTCACCCTCAATTTGGAGTGTCGTCTCTTATTGGGGGAACCTGCTCCAAGGGATTGCTATGCTCTGCATACTCTCTTGCTATATTCACTGCTAAGCTCTTGTAAGAGCTTGTTCCAGTTTTTGCTCTCTGAAGGAGTCTACGGTGATTATGGTTTCTGCTGGAGTGCTGGAAACTCCCAGGAAGCGCTATGAGCATCCTTCAACTGAGGTACCCAGTCGGGGTGCCAGGTGAACCGTTACAATGTCTCAGGAGACAGGGGCCCCCGGGGATGGCATTTGGCGACTGGAGGGGATCGGGTGAGCACAGACTGGAGATCGGAGTCTATCAGGCAGATCCCGCACATCATGCCTAATATCTTACGAACTGTCCTTTGAACGTTAGCTAAGCATAAAGTAACAGCCGTTTATAAAATGTCAATACCTTAACTCTTGCAGTTCACTGACGTAGTGCTTTACTCATACCTCCTTTAACCGCTCATGCATTACTCCATTTTATCAGTCAGTCCTAACTAATGGAACAACTTAAGCTTGTTAACGTTAATGGTGCTGGTATTCTTCTGTAGTTAGCAACATGTAACCAACACTTTAAACATATAACCTGTCTTTATTAACAACACAATGCTACATAATTACAAGCCTCAGCGCAACTAGCCTTGTTATATACACGTTTAGCCTAGCATGCTAAAATATGAATCACTGCTATTTCATATCCTGCTATCCTCATGTTATATAAAAAAAATGTGCTGTCTTAAATGCCACACTTATGTAAAATGTTATGAAAAATGCCTGCAGATGCTATCGTGGCTATGCACAGCTGTTGTCACTTTTCGCACAAGAAAAATAAAGAATTAAAAAAAAAAAAATAATTCTAACTAAACTCAAAGAGATTTTACATTGTAAAACATATTTTCCATACCAGCTGTTTTCAGTTGGGCTATTTTGAACTAAAATTTACTTTGAGATCACTTTGAGAATTCCTGATAATTCATAATTTACTGGATTTTACTGGGAATGGTGTCTGGAAGTAGGAATATTTTCTATATCTTGAAAGTTTATGTAGTATATTTGTGTGATTGTTGCTTATATATATTTACAATTTAGTAGATATATCCCAAGGGGAAAAAAATAAATATATATATATCTAATTATGTATTTTTGTGATTGACACATATATCTGAAAACAGCTTTCAAAAGCAGCAGCCTTTGCAAATCCTCCCCTTCTAACTCCGCCCAGATTTTCTGTGGCTGTCCAATCACAGACTTCCCAATGCAACTTAATGATACGCCTTTTCAAGGCAGTGGCCTTGGGCAATTGTTGCCTCTTGAGTTTAGTTCCACTGAGATAAGCAAACCAGAAAGTAACAGGACCAATTGTCTAATTGACAGCCAGGAGGGTGTAACAAGGTTCATTTATAAATGTGTCACTTTTTCTAAAATGAAAAAAAAAGAGGACACATTAGCAAGCTAAAGTGCTTTAAGTGTGTGGTGTCCCTTTAATTCCATATCTCTGTGGAATGAATCTAACATTCACAAACAGTGAGCTATTGTGCTATCTGCCAAAGTCGATCTGTATTGTGAACATATGAAGAGTAAATCTTTGGTTTCTGATTCAGATAACAGAGGCCTACATTCTATTAGACTAGATAAACTAATCTCGTGTAACAGGATAGCAGATTTCCTATTGACCTCTATAGCAATGCAATTACAAGAGATAAGCATGTCACTTCTCCTAGTGTCTAGTCCAGTCCTTGATGGCTGTTGAGAGGGTGTATCTGATGAAGGTGAGTCTCTGAGTTCATAAATTAAAAACTCAATTCAGTTCTACTTTTCACAGATTAAATTGTTATATTTGCAGTTTCACAGTCTGGCTATACTACGGGGTAAACATTGCAGGGTTCCTTTACGTAAAGATTAAGAAGCCGGATATTCCAAGACCTTATAAGGTAAATAAATCAGCATTACATTAATCGTTATACAAATTAAAAGCATATTTCACGATTCTCCTTAAATTCTAAACCAGATATAGAATCTGAATGCATTTTATTGTGTGTCTCACCACAACATAGCTCTGTCTTCTAAGAGAGGCTGCCTTTATAATGTGTCCTTTTCATTACTGTTTAGTTAACTTGTTTTCCTGGCACTATAGAGTCATTAGTTTCCCCCCACCCTCAGGGCCCCCCTCCCGCTGGGATGAAAGAGTTAAAACTCCTTCAGCCACTTACCTTTCTCCAGCGCCGGGCTCCCTTTGGTGCTGGGAACTCTCCTCCGTCTGCCGACGTCAGCTCCGAATTCGCATGCGCGGTCAAGTTCCTGTGCGCGCATTCAAACCGCCCATAGGAAAGCATTACTCAATGCTTTCCTATGCACGTCCAACGTCTTCTCACTGTGATTTTCACAGTGAGAATCGCGGAAGCGCCTTAAGTGGCTGTCAGTGAGACAGCCACTAGAGGCTGGATTAACCCTCAGTGAAACATAACAGTTTCTCTGAAACTGCTATGTTTTCAGCTGCAGGGTTAAAACTAGAGGGACCTGGCACCCAGACCACTTCAATGAGCTGAAGTGGTCTGGGTGCCAATAGTGGTCTTTTAACCCCTTAAGGACACATGACATGTCTGACATGTCATGATTCAATTTTTTCCAGAAGCGTGGTCCTTAAGGGGTTAAGATAAAAATCCACTATCCCTCTTTTAGTAGATATGTATTTACATGGTGGATTATTAACTATACACCAAATTGTAGTAAAGTAAAAACTGAATTGCAAAATATTGGCTATTTGTAGCCAACCTGTAACTATAGCTTAGATAGTAATATATTCCAATTCAGACGGTTTTGCTTACATTTTGCAGTTTGTGTTTAAATTCACTTCAGTTTGGGATTTAGGGAATAAACTACATAAATGAACAGTTTTATCTAAAGGATTGCATTTAGTCTTTCTTGTTTTGCTTTGTAAATATTCAAAGAATATTGGGAAGTGACAGTTTGCCTTTAAAGACAGAAGAGTGTCCAACCAGACATCCTATAACATCATACATGCGAACAGTCAACTTGACAAAAGGTGGATCCGTACACTCCACAGTGGGCATAATCCCAGAGGCCAGAAGCTTATCTTGTGATAAAGCATATTAGACGTTATTATATTTCTAAAGATTTTTAAACTATTGTTTTGTTTTTTTCCAGGTTCCGATCATTATACCCATCATTGTGCTGATCGCCTCCGTGTACCTGGTTGTGGCTCCAATCATCTTCAGTCCGCAACTAGGATATCTTTACGTCATTCTTTTTATCCTAAGTGGTACTATTCTCTATATTCCTGTGGTCCACTACAAATGGTCTCCTAAAGTTTTCAGGTCACTTACCCTCCATCTTCAGCTCCTGCTTGAAGTGGCCCCAGCAGATAAAGAGCAATGAGCTGCCTTTGGGGAGGTGGTAACACATTATAGTTTAATAAAATCATTAGTTACTTTATTTAAAATCTGTCAACTTACACAAGTAACAGGTGTCAGAGTAACCCCAACCATTACCAAAATTTCCATTCATTTAAGGAACACTCCTGGCCCCAAAACAAGTTCCTCTCAATAAGTCAGTATGGTTCTTTGTTTGTTTGTTTTTTAAGAATATTTTTGTACAGAAATATCACTCGGGGAAAAGGAGAAGATTGCACAGGGTTCTGCCTGGGAGCACATAGAAGAATAGACAAGGCACCTATCAACACTTTTAAATAACTGCCCGTGACATACATGCGCAGAGGAGAGCACAGCAGAATCGTCAAGAGATGCACTGAATACAGAAGAAAAGTGAGAAGGGGGAGGGTAAATGGTGGGATAACAATTTACAGCAAGGGCAGCCATGAAGTACCTGTGAGCAGGGCCATGCCCACATCTTCCCAAGTAGCCTACTTCCTGGCATGCTGTGCACCCCTGTACTCACAGCGACGCCATCAGGGCTTCCTTTGATCAGATATCCTCAACCATTAACATGGCGGGAAGGCAATTATGGGGAATGGAGTTCCTGGGTGTCCTCTTACCTTCTGGGGGCTAAAACATTTGCAAAAGGTTTAATCCCAAAGTTGTCTTCATTAATAATCTCAGCATGCCTCCTCCTCCATCCTCCGCACTGATACAGAAGGCCTTTTACTTGGGCATCAGTGATGGGCTAAGAGCGTAAGCTGGCACACTCATTCTATTACTCAAAGACAAACTTTGTTCACAGACAACTTTGGGGTTAAACTATTAGCAAATAGTTTAACTCCATAAGGTAAGATGGCGTCCAGGATCTCCAGACCCCAAAACAACTTTACGGAGATGAATGTCTCTCTACCTCCCAAGTACTCTGGTTTAGGCTTTCTGTATACATACCGCATGCGCATTCGGAGCTGAAAGGCGGATCGGGGCGGAGGGATCCCCATACACACGGATCGGGGCGGAGGGATACACACTAGCTAACAGACACACACATTTACATACATACATACACACTCACTGACAGACAGACACACATACACACTCACTTACAAAACATACACTCATTGACAAACACACACTCACTAACAGACACCAAACAGACTCACTAACAGACACACACAAACTAACACACTCAGTAACAGACACACAGTAACACACTCACTGACACACACACAAAAACTAATATTAACACACACACGTTTTTAATTTTTTTTTTAGTTAATCCCCCAGCCTCCCTACCTTTGGGAGTGCTGAGGGAATTCCCTGGGGTCCAGTGGTGCTGCCCGGCGGCAGGTCCTGCCATCGCACGAGGGAGCACTCTCCCCTGAGCACTCTCTGCCCAGCTCCCTCTCGCGCACCGCACTGTGCCGGAGCCCTGAGGTGGTGTACATACCGGGCCCGGTCGCAGCCGCGACCCCTGCGGCCCCGGTATGTATGCCTCTGCTCACAAGTACTCTTGTTTAGGCCTTATGTATACATGCCTCCAAAGTACACGTACTGGTTTAGGAAACAAAGTTCTTATTTTTGGCCCAAATTCTCCTGTCCTCCTTTCCTGTCTTACTGTCTCTCATTTTTAGAAGTTCTATGGTGTTGGCATATTTCAGTGAACTCATAATAAAATGTCTTTAAAGTACAATAAATTTGTTCAGAAGTGAATCTGTGTAAATACGATTTGTTTGGCTAATTCTAAATGAAATTTGCATTTACACAAATGGTCATCAATAGGTCTTAAACCCAATAATATGTTACACACAGTTTTTCACTAAACTATAAATACGTGTTATTGAAATATGAATTGCAAATCTGAGGCTAAATTATTTAAACTGCGAATATAGCTGAATTGGATAATTCTTCTAAATCAACTATTTTAAATTCAGTAAGTTTAGAGTTTCAATGAATAAGCCAATTAGATCAGCTCCCTAGCCACAATTTCTAAAATGTAAGTGTTGCCCTACATAACAGTAATAAATATTTTAAAGGAATACTCTGGTCACCTTAATAACTTACTGTATTTTCTGGCGTATAAGATGACTTTTTAACCCTGGAAAATCTTCTCCAAAGTCGGGGGTCGTCTTATACACCGGGTATAGGGTCTATATGGCTGCCGGGGGTGCCCTGCGCCCCCATCGCCGGTCCTTCTAATGCTGCAGCCGCCTGAGCGCTCTATAGAGAGCGCTCAGACGGCTGCCGCACTGCCTCTCTTCTCACCTCCCCTTCCCTGTGCCGAGTGGGTGGCCTCCCTCCTCCCTCCTCCTTTCAGTCCGGCTGGGAACAGGTAACTGAATCTCCTGTACCGCGCGGTACCCGGCTGGACTGACAGGACGAAGAGGAGTTCGGCCACCCACTCTGCACAGGGAAGGGGAGGTGAGAAGAATGTAGGGAGGATTGTGGGGGGGAAGTAAAAAGAATGGGGGGGGAGTAAAAAGAATGGAGGGGGGATTAAAAAGAATGGAGGGGGGGAGTAAAAAGAATATATCGCAATAAGCCTCCTGTGTGCTAGACCAGCAGGCATGGATTATATGCCCAAACAGCCTGGCACATACCTGGGCTTTAAATGCTATTTCAGATTATCATTATTTAATGTCTTGCTGTGTAGCTCTGTCTGCTCACTGTACATCATGGCTAATTTTTATTTGGTGTGCATTGGAAGAGGGGTAGTCTTATACGGCGAGTATATCCCAAACTCTATATTTTAACTGGAAAAGTTGGAGGTCGTCTTATACGCCCAGTCATCTTATACGCCGGAAAATACGGTGATCAAAATGAAAAGCGCCCCTGGGCGCTTTTTTATCTAAAGGGGAGAGCGGTTTAACCCCAAAGGTTGCCTCCTGTGCCGCATCTTCAGTTCCTCCAGTGGCATCCGACTTCTGAAATTGAGTTTTAGGAAGCACTGTGTGCCGCCGGGCACTAGCGCCGCTGATTGGCTAGAGCGGTCACCTGACGCGCTACACTAAACTCCTAATTCATTAAAAAAAAAAAAGGTTTGTACTTGGTACTGATAACCATAGTATAATTGAGGGTGAGTGAGACTTTATAGACTAAATTCCATACCACAAAATACATGAACATAATTCTTTTTTTTTATAATAAACAAAATCAGAGAAGTATACACCTTAAACACATAAACATAAATACTTATCCCTGTGTAGCAAAAGGGCAGGGTAAATCTAAAAAGATAAAAAGAAATAACCCATAGTGCTTTCTGTATATATAAACATAAAAGCAAAATATAGGAGGAATAGAACTCACAAAGTATAGAGCCGTGTCAGGCTCTATATAATGCGCTCCAAAGGTGCCTATACAGGCTTCGAGATGAGTATAATTCTTCCTTCTGTAGTTAAATTATTGAAGATAAAGGCTCCAGTTGAATGATGGAAAATTGTATTTGCAAAGTTTAACAAAAAGTTAAAAACAAAATAGGGACAATAAGCAGCGTATGAATAACAAATAAAAGTCACCGCAGGGTAAAATATAAAAAAGTCCCAAGTAGCAGTCAGCAGACGCGTTTCGACTCCTCCTGGAGTCTTCCTCAATGCTTATCTGTGCCTCCACGCTTCCAGCATATATAGGCTGGTAATTAGTATTCATTCCGTTCACCTGGCTTGTTCCGACATCCTTTCCAGCGGGTAAGTAATGTGTCATCATGGCGCACATTTCCGTCACTTCCGGTTTCGGAGGGAGCCAGGTAAAAAGGCGGAAGTAGTCCGGGCGCCATTTTAATTAGGGGAAAGAAGAATCCTCAAACAGAGTGATACATAAATATTAATATAAAATATGCATAGTGCAATGAATTAAAATAGTAATATATTATAAAAGACCAATTGCATAAACATTAAATCATAATGGATAAAAATAAAATAAATGAATAAAAATACAATTATAAAAAAAGGGTTTAAGGAAAAAAATGAACCAATTCGAAATCAATATTAAGACCCTTTGGAGCCAAGGTGTCTAAAGTAAAAATCCATCTGGCTTCTATTTTACCTAGTTCTTTAAAATTATCCTCTCCTCTCCAATTGGGAACTTTTTTATAAATAGCCATAAAATTTAAAAGTGATGGATCCTTATTATGGAATTGGACAAAATGTGCAGATACACTGTGTTTTTCATACCCCCTCTGGATATTACCCATGTGTTCTGCAATACGTGTTTTTAGGTTCCTGGTAGTCATACCCACATACTGCAGTTCACATGGGCACCAACGTTTGTGGAGTGACAAGTTAGAATATCTCAAACATTAAAATTGCGCTGGGGTGAGTGGTGCCGTCGGCTCAGTGTGCGCTGAAATTGTTTAGCAGCGGCCATTTTGCTCCCTCCTCGTGGCTGCTTTATTAGCTGGGCTTTGTGTGTGTTTTCTGCGCGTATTTGCATGCGCTTTTCAAGCTTATGCCAGAATGCTGTAAAGATTGCATCCAACCTTGCTGTGTAATCAGCGTAGTCTGTGTGACAATCTTCTGGTTGCTCCGTGCTCTCCCCGGGTTGATTCAGTGCTATTGCAGCTGCAGTTCCAGGGGCGCTCTGAGTCTGTTGGGTTTTAGGCTTTAATGTGGGGTTCGTCCCCAGCGAGGACCGGGATATCCCCCACCGGTCCAGGGGGAGTGGTAGCAGGGCTGCTACGGACTCTCGCTTGTGAGCGTGTCCCCTGTCGGGAGATCGGCCGTCTCCCCCAGACATCAGGCTCTGATATAGTTAGGCCGCATGGCCGGTTCAGACAGTTTCGTGGCATATCTGTTCAGGATAGGTATCATCCTGTTCCCCGGTCGACACTGTGTCGCTTTCCGTGCACCGTGAGCCGCTAGCGGTGTTTCTTGTAGTCAAAATTGGCGTGTTTTGCTCTCCAGTGCCAGAGCTCTCATGAAATGCGACCGGCCATCTTGGCTGTCAGGCCTCCCCCCCCCACTACTAAATAGTTTTTTATATTCTTAGCACCTCTATATATAATGTTAGGTGGCAGCTACTGTTTACATCCACTTTTAAAAAAAAAGTTTTAGTCTTAATGATAGAATTGTCAATATCAACTTCAAGATCTAAAAATTGGACATTAGTCTGGCTAAAATTGGTAGTAAGAACAATATTATACTCATTATTATTTAAAAATTTTAAAAAATGTTCGAGGGAATCATAGTCTCCCTTCCAAATAAAAAAAGATATCGTCATTGTATCTGCGATAGAGTACCAGGTTGCTACCCCAGCCATCCGTGTCAAGTAGAAACAACTGCTCCCAATAAGACATAAAAAGGTTGGCATAGCTTGGTGCAAACCTGGTCCCCATTGCTATGCCAACTAATTGGAGGAAATATGTGAGAATAATAAATAAATTGGATACTCTCCAAAATAAAACTAATTTGAATATACGGGAAGCCATGTAGACAAAGAAAATGATCTACTGCTTTACAACCTAATGAGTGGGAAATGATAGTATATAAACTACCCACGTCGTAGGTAACTAAAAAGCATTCATCTCCCCAAGTGATATTCTTTAAATCTCTAATAAATTGAGAGGAATCCTTCAGATATGCGGGCTGGCTAATGACAACTGGTTGCAGCAGCCTATCCACATTTTCCGAGAGACGGCTAGTAATGGAATCAATCCCTGCGACTATGGGTCTCCCAGGAGGGTTTAGTAAATTTTGTGCCCAAAACAGTTCCAGAGAATTTGGCTGTGTGGCCAGTCTATTTCCAATTACTAAGTTCACTTCAAATGCATGAACAGGGACCGAATTGTCGAACGCCGTTCGCCTCCCATCGAAGTGTCGAAGTCACAGAGAAGGTAAAGTTTCAGCGGTGTTCGTGCCGTTGTGTGTCCGATTTGAGTTCCATGAACTCAAGGTCAAAACACAGCTGAACACGTTTGACTAAACAAGATGGCCGCTGCCACGTGTTCGACTATACAAACAGCGGCCAACCAGCCGTTCGTCAATTTGGCTGCGGTTAACTACCAGCCTGGGAGATAAATAGGCTGCACACTCCACTTGTGTGTGGTCCGGCTGTTCGGTGGTTTGAAGTTCCACTTCGACCACTTCGAAAGTTTAAAGGGGCATTGTGCCAAGTCCCAATAGGCACAAATAGTATATTTAATCCCAGTAAATTAAAAGGGCCATAGTTACAGGGCAACAGGCTGGCAAGTACCAAGAACCAGTGGTGAAGTTGCTTTCACACTATGCACCCATTTCACAATATGAAGTAAACCAATCATGCTTTACATTAATAACTACCAAGGCTTTGTGCATTTTTGAAAACAATCTAAAAATGTAAGACATATAAGAGGCTACTTCACTGATTTACTGTTTAAATAAAAGTTGCTGCATAAACTGCTTACAAGAACAAAACTAATGAGAAAAAACATATAAAGAGACAGCAGGGATCCATAAGAACCCCTAATAACCACCTAGAGCCAAACCCAATGGTAACATACATTCATTATATATATATATATATAGCAAAAAACAAAAAACAAAATACAAAATGCTTGGCACTCTCCTATTAGGTAATAAATAGGAAAAAATAGCCTGGGTGCTATATCCCAATCGCCAGAAATATATAAAAACCAAAAATAAGGATGCACTCACAGGACTTAATTATAGTGAAAAAAAGTGACTTTTAATCAATCGACGTTTCGACCCTGACGGGTCTTTTTCAA